AGGAGAGCAGACGGACCCTCGGCCTAGTCGGGCAGTAGAGTAGACGGACCCTCGGCCTAGTCAGGCAGTAGAGTAGACGGACCCTCGGCCTAGTCAGGCAGTAGAGTAGACGAACCCTCGGCCTAGTCAGGCAGTAGAGTAGACGGACCCTCGGCCTAGTCAGGCAGTAGAGTAGACGGACCCTCGGCCTAATCAGGCAGTAGAGTAGACGAACCCTCGGCCTAGTCAGGCATTTGAGTGTGCGGACCCTGAGCAGAGGCTTTTCAGAGACCATTGGGTTATATTGCCCCCTACAGGAGCATTGGAACAATGGCAAACAATGAAAACCTAACCTACTCCCAGCATGCCTCAGCTTCCTGTCACAGAGGGATGGACGTCTCATTGTTGTCAGGTTCCTCTAGTGGCTCCTTCGGCTGGTCTCTATAGGCTCAGACTGGGGTATGCTTGGAGGGTGTTCCCGGACCCCCGCTGGATTGGCCCGGACGTTTTGGACCTCCCAATGGCCTCTGAAGGCCTGTGCTCCTTTCCACAAATGTGAGGCATGCTGGGAGTAGGAGGGGTCAATGTCCTGTAGGCGGCAGAATAACCCAGCCGTCCCTGGAAGGTCAGCCATCTTGTTTCCCTCCCTCCAGGTGTGTGTTACCGCTTGTACCCGGAAAGCAGTTTCCAGAGTCAGATGTCGGAGTTTTCTCCTCCGCGGATCCTTCAGGAGAACCTGAGCCGGATGGTCCTGCTGCTGAAGCGGTTGGACATCGCTGACCTTGGACAGTGCGACTTCCTTGACCGGCCCGGTAAGAGACGGCGTGCCGCCCCAGATAGGTCCCGCCTCCCCACATACAGATCCCCTCCCCCAATCACCCTCCGCTCTCCCCCCCCAGCTCCGGAGTCCCTCATGCAGGCTCTTGAAGATCTGGATTATCTGGCCGCTCTGGACGACGACGGGAATCTGTCCGAGGTCGGGATTGTCATGTCGGAGTTCCCTCTGGATCCGCAGATCTCCAAATCGCTGATCGCGGCCTGCGAGTTCCAGTGCGTCAGCGAGATGCTGACCCTGGCGGCCATGCTGAGCGGTATGTGTGCGCCGCGGGGAGGGCTATGTCATCATGATCCCTCCTCCTGGGGGGCGCGGCCATCGCTGCAAACCACACCCATTGTGCTGATCTGTATACCGGATGGGGGGAGGGACTAAGGCGTGGTGGGTGGAGCTATAGGATGAATATATAGTAGGTGGAGTTATAGATTAGTGGGAGGGGTTATAGGATGAAAGGACGATTATATAGAACATAGTAGGTGGAGCTATAGAGATCAGTAGGCGGGGTTATAGGATGAAAGGGCGGATATACAGAACATAGTAGGTGGAGTTATAGAGATTAGTGGGCGGGGTTATTGGATGAAAGGGCGGGGTTATAAGTAAAAGATATATGGTGAGAAGTAGGTGGAGTTTTAGATATAAGTGGGCGGGGTTATAAGTAAAAGATATATGGTGAGAAGTAGGTGGAGTTCTAGATATAAGTGGGAGGAGTTATAAGTAAAATAAATATGGTGAGAAGTAGGTGGAGTTCTGGAGATTAGTGGGAGGAGTTATAAGTAAAAGATATATGGTGAGAAGTAGGTGGAGTTCTGGAGATTAGTGGGCGGGGTTATAAGTAAAAGATATATGGTGAGAAGTAGGTGGAGTTCTGGAGATTAGTGGGAGGAGTTATAAGTAAAAGATATATGGTGAGAAGTAGGTGGAGTTCTGGAGATTAGTGGGAGGAGTTATAAGTAAAATATATATCGTGAGAAGTAGGTGGAGTTCTAGATATAAGTGGGAGGAGTAATAAGTAAAAGATATATGGTGAGAAGTAGGTGGAGTTCTGGAGATTAGTGGGCGGGGTTATAAGTAAAAGATATATGGTGAGAAGTAGGTGGAGTTCTGGAGATTAGTGGGCGGGGTTATAAGTAAAAGATATATGGTGAGAAGTAGGTGGAGTTCTGGAGATTAGTGGGCGGGGTTATAACTAAAAGATATATGGTGAGAAGTAGGTGGAGTTCTGGAGATTAGTGGGAGGAGTTATAAGTAAAAGATATATGGTGAGAAGTAGGTGGAGTTCTGGAGATTAGTGGGCGGGGTTATAAGTAAAAGATATATGGTGAGAAGTAGGTGGAGTTCTAGATATAAGTGAGAGGAGTTATAAGTAAAAGATATATGGTGAGAAGTAGGTGGAGTTCTAGATATAAGTGGGAGGAGTTATAAGTTGAAGCTATATGTTGAGAAGTAGGTGGAGTTAGAGATTAGTGGGCGGGGTTATAAGTTAAAGCTATATGGTGAGAAGTAGGTGGAGTTCTAGCTATAAGTGGGAGTTATCATTATGAGTGGGTGGAGTTATAGGATGAAAGTATGAACATATAGAACATAGTAGGTGGAGTTATAGATATAAGTGGGAGGGGTTATAAGTAAATAACATCTGGTCAGAAGTAGGCGGAGTCATAAATATGAGTGGGTGGAGCTATGACGAGTCATTGGAGGAGGAGTTTATAGCGGGTTGGACTCTCTGTAGTAATGTTGTTTCTCTGCATCTTATTTCCAGCCATGTTTTGCTTGTTCCTGGCGCAGTAGGCGCAGTTGTAGATATAAGTAGGCGGAGCCTCGGCTTGCACTGTGCTATGTCCTCTCTCCTGATTTGCTGTCGCCTGTATCTCCCCCGGCTTATTGTCCCCTCTCTCCCGCTGTAGTGGCCCCCCGCTGCTTCCTGCCCCCTCCGCACAGCGAGTCTGTCCTGTGTGCACGCCGCGACCTGCAGCTTCCTGAAGGGGATCACATGACCCTCATCCGGGTCTACGACCACTACAAGGAGAGTGAGTACCGGCCGCCATTGTGTGTATGAACTGTGTGTGCCCCGCCTCTCCCCGGTCAGTCATGTGATGGTTGTGTGTGTGACACGGGACATGGATATCAGGACTGTACATGTTAATCTCCCAGAATCCCGCGCTCTCCATTATATGTAGATACGATCGGGTTATACTGCCACCTACAGGAGGATTGGGCCGGGATGACTCCTCCTACTCCCAGCATGCCTCAGCCTGGTGAGAAGGTCCATGGGTCTGAGCACGGGGAGAGGCCTCTGATGTACTGGCTTTCCTCAGGTTATATAGCGGAAGGGGTTAACGATGGGGGACGGGTCGATTATGTCATCTTCTGGGCGGGGTTATGCACACCATCTGCCATTCAGGAAGCTCCATTCTGCTGACGTTCCTGCTTTCTAGGGCCCATTCCTGCTGCCCATCCACAGTGACTTGGTGACCTCCTGACCTTCACCTGTACCAATGTGTGAGTTGTGGAGGTCCGGCCTTGTATCCTGAGCTACGCTTCTAGACCCAGGGAGGCCGGGCCCGCTGTCCAGGGGGGCTCCAGCTCATATTCCACTCACAGCTCTGGGGCAGCATGACTACTCATGGGGCCGACAGGTGGTCAGTGCGGGCTCTCAGGTGGCCAGTTGGGGCTCTCAGGTGGTCAGTGCGGGCTCTCAGGTGG